CAAATGCACTCCGCCTGTGAGGAATCGATAGTGAAAGCACGCTTCGCTCATTCTGGCCAGCGCTTGGTTAGCAAATTGCTCTTGGAAAAGTACGGTACCCCTGATTGCTCTGATCAATATATTTTTGGACATGAATACATGTAGACGTTTCTACATGAATAAGTGTGGATTGTTGTACATTAACAAAAAATAAGACCTAGTGGATTTTTTTTTGAGCCAAAAAAAGTATAAGACTGTCTTATTTTCAGGGAAACCCGGTAGTATGGTCATATTGTAAACTGCCTGGGGATCCTTACTGAGACAATCAAAATAAAATCTGCCCATGGGTGCCCAAATGTTTATTTAATCCTATATACAAATACACATTCATACAACCCAAATATAGGAAAAAAAAAAAGTTGAACTTGGCATGAACCACATGACATCATAGATCTATATCATAAGTGGCTTTTGCTTTGTGGAGCTAGTCATGCCGCAGCTATCAGACACTTGCATGAGTGTTGGATAGTGTCCCCTTCCACCGCTGAACACCTTGGTTCCTTACTTAGGCTGCTTGGTCACCCGATGACGTAGCTGGCAGTGGAGGAAACTATGGCATCCAACCGCGGCGATCATGCCAGGAACATACTTTCTAACTCACTTGGAAGTGTCCGATAACAGACATGTCCTGATCTCTATAAAAGGTGCCCATACACTGCAATACACTGGAAATGTCCATACACTGGAAATCCCGCGATCGTACGAGAATCATGCAGTGTATGCAAGGCGTGCGACCGTTTCTACTGTACGGTCGCACGTCTTCCGTCAAACCTGCATGCTAGAAAACCCGCCGGGAATCGTACGATTCTCGGCGAGTTAGTGGCCTGCTGGTTCGACAACTGCCGAACGGGCCAGTGCGCACACAGCCCGTTTGCAGTCATCATAAGCCCGCCCCTCATTACAGTCATCGTAAGCCTGCCCCTCATTGCAGTCATCGTAAGCCCGCCCCTCAGGGGGGTGGGCTTGCGATGATCGCAAGTACGATCTGCCTGTCCAAGATGGGCAGATCGTAAGTTTTTTTAATCACTTTACAACCATCGAAAGACTAAGGTCTTGCGATGGTTGTACAGTGTATGGCCACCTTTAGAGAGAAAACATTTGACTCCCCCCCCCAAAACTTATTTTAATAGGGCCTAAATTTTTTTTTTTTTATTGATATATTTTTCCACTGTGGCAAAAAGGTCAGATTTTGTCCCGAGCAAAACAACTGAAGCCACTGGGAGGTTGGGAGCCATGTAAACAATCTATGACGCCATGTTTAAATCTACAGTCAGAGGCCATGTAATTACACACACCTATCCAGTACCAAGCAGGACCTCATTTAGGGATCTTTTTTGTAGTCTTTGTTTTTAGGTCAAATGGAATGTAATACCACATTCTCCAATAGATGGAGCTGAGGAGTATAGGAAATGAGTAGTTCCTATGCTCAACTCCAACTAGTGGCCATAACACAGTATTACATTACATTCATACAAAGAACTTTAATAGATTTCTAACAGGGATATTCACACAAATGGTGAAGAGTTTGGAGAAGGCAGGAGAAGTGAGCAATCTAGGACAACATAGCTGAACTGGAAAGTGAGATGAATTGGAGAATGTTGTCCTAGATTGTTGACTTCTCCTGCCTTCTCCAAACTTTTCACCCTTTTGTGAATAGCCCCGATCGTGTTCAGGTTACACTGCTGCCCATTTTGTAATTGAGAGACATCTTTCTGCTCACCACTGTTGTAGGGATGATAAAAGCTGATTTGGACTTCCTGTCAACCTAAACAAGTTGGGCAATCCCCTTGTAGCCGCCCTTATTCAGGAGGGTTTCCCACAGAACTGCTGCAAACTGGATGTGAATGCTGCTGGATGCTTTATGTATTATTGGTAATTATAGAGCACCAACAATTTGCACAGCAGATTCACATCAGTCCTTGCCCTCAAGGAGCTTACAATCTAAGGTGCCTATCTTAAAAGGTGCCCATACACTGCTCGATTCTCGTACGAGAATCGCAGGAAATCCCGCGATCGTACGAGAATCGAGCAGTGTGAACGAAGACGTGCGACCGTTTCTACAATACGGTCGCACGTCTTTTGTCTAAGGAGCACGCTAGAAAACCAGCCAAAAATCGTACGATTTTCGGCTGGTTTGAACGGTGCTCGGGAGACAAATGCCGAACGGGCCGGTGTGCGCACGCGCACACTGCCCGTTCAGCATTGCGGTCATCGGAAGCCAGCCCCTCAGGGCGGCGGGCTTGCGATGATCGAGAGTACGATCTGCCTGCCCAAGACGGGCAGATCGTACGTTTTTTTAATCACTTTACAACCATCGCAAGACCAAGGTCTTGCGATGGTTGTACAGTGTATGGCCACCTTTACATACACACAGGGCCGATTAAGACAGGAGGCAATTAACCTTCTGGCATGCCTTTGGACTGTGGGAGGAAAGTGGAGTACCCAGAGGAAACTCACACAAGCACAGGTGCTTTGTACAGGCTTCCCATAGAAGTCAATGGCCATACACAGCTGTACAAGGGGATAAGCTTTTGCATATGCGTAAAGACGTACAGTAAATCCCTGGACGCAGGTTTTCATACGTAAAACACAAATATTGGTGTATAACCATTGACATCTATGGAGTGCTGTACGCAGCACCTGTGGCTTTTGGCTGGTGGTTTATGCCAAAGTTTACATTGTATGGGTTCAGTTGCTTATGTGCAATAGGTCTTAGTTGTGAGAATCCTTCCAGGAATGATCCTTACCCCTATACTAACCCCACCCCCTTGTCATCTTATCATCTGCCTTTCTTACCTTTTTTCCTTCTGCGTTACTCCCTTTATCTTTACACTAACCATCAGAACTACTCCCTCCCTCCTGTTTCCTATTTCCTGGACCTATTATCTCACATTCACCTAAAATTTGGAATCCGGCTCCCCTCTGCCTTATCTGATCCTATCTCACTTAATGAAAAATGCTCATGATATCAGAAAAAAAAAAAACTTTAATGGCTAGGCTTCCTCATTGCTTGAAGAAACAGACCACTTAGTTGCCATAAAAAACACGTGACCAATCGGAAAAACCATGATAAGTATAGAAGGCTGGATTCATACGCATGGCAATACACTTTGCATATAAATGTGGGTTTTTTTTTGTCACAGGCAGTTATTAAACAAACGTACACGAGCATTATAAAAGATGGCTATGATAAGGCTTTAATTTACAAAGGCACAAAATTAGAGGTTGACAGCACAAGGAAATGGAATAAAAGCATGGCTCCCAGATCCCCAAATCTTATCAACAAGCTATTCGTAAAATGGCAAAGCAGGAAAATGCAGAAACACAATTAGGCTTTCATTTTCCAGACTGAGTGTGCTATGGCCCATGTCACTCTAGTAACTTTGTAGCAGAGGTCAGCAGCAGATGTCCTCTAGTGCTTTAAAGCCCGTTCACACCAGATGCATTGGGCTGCACTGGCCAGCTTTGCCCATCACAGTCACACATATACAAGACAATTTGCCTTGTGACCTATAAGGTTATTGCACACCACTGCTATAGTAATGTGTGTGGAATAAAACATAGGATACGCAGTATTTTTTTTGTGCAGGATGTTGCCATGTACCTTATCACATCACAACCTGTTGTAGTGAATAAAATTCAATGAAAAGTCATGTGACATTTTAATATAAAAACAATAAATAAATGGTGCAATGTGATGTAATCGGCACATTACAGTTTCTTTCACAGCATACATCAGTGTCCTCGCAGTAGTGTGAGCTGGTGTCTTTAGGGAGTTGCTGCTGTAGCTGGCTACAGTACATCTCTATGGAGCTAAAATTACTGGAGTCCTATGATCACCAACATTTGCATTAGATAATATGAATAGCTACAGAAGCTGGAGATTCTCTAGGTGGCTTTAACAGCCGCAATTGAGCTACACATTTCTTGGATTTCTGCAACACAGACTATTTACTGACTTCCATTTCGTGTTTTCCTAGCAATAAAACCGCTAAGAGCTATTCTGTAATGGTCACAAAGTGGGCTATCGTTCTATATATTAAACTTCAGTCCACACAAAACCATTGCATCATGTGGTGCAGCTGCTTGTATCATTTTGGACTACCTGGCCTAGCCTAATGCCAGAGAAAAAAAATAGTAATATTCATAGTAGAGTGTCCAGAGCAGCAGCTACTGATTCATTGGTCATATCACTTTTAAATGGACGTTGCAGTTAAAGGAAAAAAAACTATCTTAATGTAAATTTTCAGCAATTTAGTATAAATACACTGAATATCTTTCCGTATTTATGTCCTTTTATCCCCGTTTGTGTCTTCTGAATAACCCATCAGCAGACCACCTGCCAATGCATAAGTCATGTGACTGCACGTCTTCCTCTCTAGTATGGCAAAGCTGATCACAACTGTCACTGGAACACCAAACTAGCTCATCAAAGTTTGCAAACTCCTGACCACTGATGAAGCAAAGCATTATAGGACTTAAATGCCATATTAGGATCCCTGGCTTGTGACAACACATGAGCAAAACCAGGAGGATCTGTCACCATGTAGACCGGAATCTTACAGAACATTTATTTTGGAAAGGGCAGTGTGGCAGATTTATAAAACGTAACGTCGAGCACTTTCATTTGGAACGAACTTGTATATTGACAAGTTTTATGTTGAAATAAAACAAATAAAAAAAAAAAAATAAAAAAAAAAAAATGTAGTGACTGACCAACGTTCTCACCTTCAGCAGCATTCAATGTACACCACAGAATCCTCAAAGTGACATAAGCCATGGGGTACGGCAAAAAGCTGACGCATCAATATAAAATGCGGGTCGCCGACATGCTCTTTTACCATGCAAATGGCTGAAAATTCATGACTTATTACAAGGTTTATGTTATTTCTACAAAGTATTGTGGTGTTTAGTTGGCTTATTTTTTAACCCAATTTATAGACTGGTTTGGGGAATTTTTTAAACAAATATACACTGCAGACCCAACATATATCTGTTTTTTGGGGAGAAAAATGGAAAATCTGTACATTAAGCAATTATTGTCCTATATACAGTTATTATTATACAGCTAACTGTAGTGTCCGTTAGGAGAAAAAAAACAAAACAAAAAAAAGTCAGTCCCTTAAGTCCTTTAAAAATAAATCACTCTTCTCCAGAACGGATATTGTGCAGTTCCTGGAAGCCAGAATACAAGTCCACACAGGGCAAATGTCTTGGATTTACCAGCCCATTAATCAACTCCTAAAGCCTTGAGTTGACGCTCAATCTCTTCATCGGATATGGTTGATGTTTTGGATGAGGCAGCAGAGGGAAGGCCTTTGGCAGCCGATGGGGCATTTGCCATCTGCAAAAACAATTTAATCAATCAATACCTATGAATGTTAGAAGGTTCATAAATATGGAATAAAGATTACTCCTAGTATCTATAAAAGTTCACAGAAATTGTCTCCTATAGATGTCTGTCAACCTAAAAGAGACTCGGTCACTTTGGCCATTCCATCATATGCAGGAAAGGCGACTGTAAGAGGATCCGGGGTGGGCTTCAAAGCTGAACCCCAGGCAAACTAAAACACATGGGAGCAGTTTTAACTATCAAAGGATTTGTATTTCCGTCTATTCAGTCCTCATATTTACAAAGCTCTGAAGCCCAGCAAAGCCCTCCCCATTCTCGCCCTGTGGCTGGACAGTGAAATGAGTAGCAGCATACCGTTGAGTTCACCTGTCTGCATTCTCCTTGCACTGTAGCACACCTGAATGGCTCCTTGAGTTTCTTCTCCCTCCCCATCTCTAAACTTTGCTTGGTATCTTACAGTCTATTGTACAGCTAAGTTCAGCTACTTACACAGCTTGTATTTAAAACATACTGGTGTTTCCCCGAAAATAAGACACTGTCTTATTTATTTATCATGAAAAAAGACACTAGGTCTTATTTTCGGGGGATGTCTTACCTGGCTGCAGCTGTCGAGCTCTCCGCTCCGATGCAAACAGGTGTGCAGGGCGGGGGGCGTTGTGTGGGCGGGCGTGTGTGCGGCCGGGAGGGAGCTGCGGCCGCTCTTAACATGTAAAAATCAATTACATGATTTTTTTTTATAGTTTCCTTTTGTGTCTCAGGAGTTCATTTATAATGTACTTCTGTGACCCAAAGTCAGCATATAGCGGGGCTATTGCCCTCTACCTGCTGATACTGCAGAGCCACCCTACAGTCAGAAAAGATCCTGACAATATTGTCAGCATTAGGGTAAATAAAAATTGATTTAAAAAAAATATATATATTTAAAAATTTAAAAAATCAGATTTGTATTTAAAATGGGATTTTTTTATTTTTATCAAGTTTATTTTAATGAAAAATGCTTTTGGAGTAAAAATGTGTCTAAAAAGATCGTTTTCTATTTAAGATACATTAATAATGTAGTTTATTCAACATGAAATGGAGCTAAGTTATGTAGCATGAGGCTGTATATTCTCCAATATTTACATTTTTGGTAAACTCATTTAACGAATCCAAGCTCTGCAAGCTGAGAGAACATGCACTGCATTGATGCATTACTAAACATTGATGTTTAAGGAAATACAAGAATATGTAACATAATGTTATTGTTTTAATAAAATAAAATAATTTGAGTAGTACTCCAACTATGTGTGATGAACCTATTAACCTAAAAATGGGTTCCGATATCGCCGTTTTACTAACCCGACGCTTATTATTCTAATATAGTAAACCTTCATTTTGTTTGTAAATAATAATATTAAAGATTCTTACTACCAGCAAGAATGAGTCCTTACATTTAAAAAGCACTTAGCGGGCATCCGCTCACCTGCTGCCCGCCACGTCCCTCACCTTGTTGCGTCACTGCCGCATTAAAGTGAATGGGACTGTCGGTGAGTCAACAGCGGGTCAGAGGAGGAGCCGCTGCGGGACAGAGATGACAGTTGCTCTTTACAAATTATGATTTAAATCAAATCCACCCTGGTCGGGATTCACAGCTGGCTCTCCCTCTCTAGAGCCAGAGGCAGCTGTGTCTGCCACCTCCCCTGTCTGTCCTTCAATGAGCGCTGGAAGAACAGAGAGAGGGGGGGGGGGGGGGCGCAGGCCAGAGGTACAAGTTCTGTAATGCCACATACCTTTCCTGAGATCTCTATTCCGATTTCATCCAGCACCTGAGTCACAATGTCCTGGCTTTCTTCTTCATCTTCTGAGGCATCAAAAATATCATCCAATGTGTCGTTTACTGTGAAGGATGAACACAGAGCTCAGATTAAATAAGTCAGAATCATTCCAAAGGACAATACCTCCCATAATATCCCAAATCCATGTATACCTATATCATAGCCTCATTAGGATGATCATGTTGCGAGAATTAGGTCGACACATTCAAATATTACAAACCATTCATAGTACAGCAATACTCATAATGATTCCCTCCATAAAACATATTACCTCCTCTTGCACCTAACAACTGCTCTGAACAATGTCAGGCAGCCTCACTCACTGAAAGAGTGTGGGAGACGGCTGGTCTGAGCACTCATGTCAGCTGTCCAAGAGTATCCTGATAAAGTGCCCAGTTTTATGGCTACCAAGGTTTTTAACAAGGCTTACAAGCAGGCATGTTGGTACCATGAGGTGCCTGCTTTCAATATTTGTGGCCGACTTGAGGTGTCTCTACATGGGGCAATTACTGACCAGACATGCTGATATTCAACCCATGGATGGTATGAAGCCTTCTCCTGCAGCCTGATCTGAACAACCTTTATCAGAGATTACCAGGTGTTTGAAGCCAGCAATAAACACTCATAGAAACCCATTTAAAATAGAAAGCAATACTATGCCGCTCCCTGCTGCACCGGGGGTTAGATTTATTTAGCGCATATTTAGGAACTATCAGGTCAACAGTCTAGCAACCTGCTATGTGCTAAACAAATTCCACACTACAATATCAGTCCCGTGTCCAGTTACTTTTCCAGCCTAAACCTTCGCAAGATTACAGTAACTGGCTGATGAGTGGCAGGAGAACTAGGAAGCTTCAAAATTGCATAGTGTAGACAGAGCTCCAAGAGGACAGAGGAGAAATGTGTGCTCTATACACAAGGGGATGGTATAGTAATAGAGAACTGTGTATGTCAGCCACAAGACAGGGTTTAAGAAATACATTATATGGCGCAATCAAGTCCTTAATGTAAAGCAGGGGTGGCAAACACAAGGCCCACGGGCCGAATCCGGCCCGCCGGACCTTGTAATGTGGCCCGCACAGCCAGGGCCGGCCTTAAAAAAAAAATCTTTAATAATCGCCCGCGGGCGCGGCGCCCCTCCGTGCGGGCGCTTGACAGTTTACCTGTCAGCTCAGCCAGGCAGCACAGCAGTGACAGTGTCACTGGCAGTCTATGAATGACTCATTAAGATGGCCACCGCGACAGCGCGGCCATCTTTAAAACTGGACAAAGTACTGGCACTCTGGCAGGCCAGTCCACAGGTGGAATCAGGAGTCGGAGATCATCTTTACTGTGCGCCCGCGGGCACGGCGCCCCTCCGTGCGGGCGCTGGATGGGGACAGGCGGATTCTGCCGGAAAGACACGTGGGAGGCTGTCCTTGCCTTGCTATGAGGAGCAGGGATGAGGAGCAGGAGCTCAGAACTTTGTTCTGTAAGTAAATTCTTTTTTTTTTTATAAATGCAGTGTACTGCTTAATGTCTGTTTTGTATTTTATTATTTAAATAGAGTGTTTCTTAACCACTTCAAGACCAGGTGTTTAGACCCCCCAGGCCATTTTTCAGTGTTCAGTGCTGCGGTACTTTGACTGACGTTTATTCCGTCATGCAACGCTGTACTGAAATACATTTTATACCATTTTTTGGTGACAGAGCTTTCTTTTTATGGTATTTCATCACCACGGGGGTTTTTATTTTTTACTATAATTAGGAAAAATTACAGAAAAAGTTGAGGAAAAAACAGTTTTTTTTAACATTATGTTAGGAAACATCTATTATTACCCAGTTTTTTGGTAAAATATAAAAGATCGGGTCACATCGGGTAAATAGACACCAAACATGGCAAGCTTTAAAATTGCACGCACCCGCGAAATCGCAGAAAACTACCATACCCAAAATTGGCCATAGGCGACACTTTAAAAGCTTTTACCGCTCATCAGTTTAGTGTCATCGGTGATTTATGGCCCTAGACTTATTGCTCTCACTGCGACGTTCGCGGCGATATGTAACATGTGCGGCGTAATGGGCGCAATCGTATTTTTTGCACGTATGCGCCCCCATACAACCGGCCCTTTGAGGGTAACCATACTGCTGATTCGGCCCCCGATGAATTTGAGTTTGCCACCCCTGATGTAAAGGAAGCGATGAACAGGTTCTATAATGTGGAGCCTGATGAAGCATTTTTAGAATTGATAAGAGGATATACCTGCTGAAAAAACCTGCACACTAACAGATAGGTAATAAAGGATAAGAGAGAGGTGGGACAAGTGGACGATAGCTTGTTTTTCTTTAATGTTTTTCTTTTTATTTGCTGCATCACTTTAAATAAAAAAAAAACTGACATGTTTAATCAGGGGGTAATGAATCTGCATAAAGCATTGAAGAATTACAGGAAGCAGAGAGGCTTCAAGGAAGGGCACTGTCCTGAATGGGAAGTCTGCATATTCATCCAAAAGAAACACTACACGGAGGGGAATTATATTCTCCTGGAATGGGAATTTATCATTATACTGCAGAACTGTGGTCCATTTGCGGGATTATAGAGATCTCCCCACTACACCTGTCAGATGCATGTTACCATGGTTTGCAGCCGATTGGTAAATCTCAGAAAGGGTGCAGTAGCTGGAAGCTGGAGGAACGTCTTATGAAAAGGACCGGTTCGTTATCATGCAATATCCTACACTCCATACAGCCACTAAAGTCACCAGTGGAGAGGTTGCTGGTAGATTAACCTCCTTGGCGGTAATCCCGAGTGTGGCTCGGGGTTAATTTTCAGTACCATAAGCATGTAAGCGTCCGTGACGCAAGGGCGCGGCACCGGTGGGAATTTTAAAAGTAAAAATTACGGAAAAAAAAATAGAACAAAAAAAAAAAAGGAAAAAAAAAATTAAATCAGATCGCCAGGGAGGTTAAATTGTCATGAGAAAATGTAAGTAATGACCACTGCTAAAACTAGTAGCCAACCGGCTATTATGCCGAGCCATTGGCTTCAATATGTTAGAATTGAGCTTTTCTTTCTCTTTTAAAAAAAGTGCTAACTTTATCATCTGCATGCTTGTTCCTGGTCTGTGGCTCAGGACATGCTAAAGACAGACAGCTAAGTACCAAATAACTAAGCTAGGACAGATTCCCTTCTGCTCAGTACAGGTTTCCTTGAATATATTTTTTTTTTCCCCAACATGAAATTTTTTTTTAAAAAAAGGCAATAACCAACAATGTAATGCATGTTTAACATTGCCGAGTGTGAGATAGTGAAGAATAGAAGACCACAGTGCAGTGTGTTGTAAATACTGCAGCTTTAAATTACGCAGCCGTAATATCATTTTCATCTTAAAATCTGTGTGGAAGATGAAAAGCGCTACTACATATCTTCATACAGGGAAATATAAAGAAGTCACAGAACAGCGATACAAGCGCCATAATTGTGACAAATAGGCACACTGCACCTTTATAAATATAGCCCACAGAAACGCAGCTGTACCTAAATATAACGTACTGATGTACCAAGCCTCCAATGTGAAGCCTGGCAAAGATGTGCAATGGAGCGAGATAAAAGTGTCTTACTCATTTCTTCTGTCATTTCCATTTTCATATTTTCTTTCTGGAAATTTTGCATCGTCTGAAGTGTTTTCTGTGGATCCATCTTCTTGTTTACTGCTTGCATTGTCTAAGAAACAAAAACCATCATCGTTTGAAAAGATTTCAAAACACTGTTCACTAAATCAATGCGGACTCTAGGTAAGGACACCAAGAAAACATTTGTTTTCTTGGTGTCCTGTTCACACTATACTGGTGTATGTTGTTACCACTCCCTTAAAATTACACTCAAATCAGGAGTTACATTTTAAAAATACATTCAAGTACCCCAACTATTAACAATAACGTATCTTATTTGTGTATCACTCGGCTGTAGATCCTCAAATCATCTCTGAATTGGTGCCGACACTGTCCTTCCTTCTGGAGGGTGGCTACTTTTGTTCCCCATGGTCCACGTGTGTCGTAGAGTAGCCACCACTCCAATCTCACGCCAGTGATGGACTACAATCTCATGTTTAGTTTACTAATTTGTATGGAGATTGTAGTCTATCATGGGAGCGAGATTGGAGCGGTGGCTACTTTACAACACACACAGGGACCATGAGAAACACAAGTAGCCACCCTCCGGAAGGAAAGACAGTGTCAGCGCCAATTCAGAGATGATTTGAGAATCTACAGCTGATACACAAATAAGATACATTTCTGTTAATAGTTCAGGTACTTGCATGTATTTTTAGGATATTACTTCGGAGTTTAGTGTCACTTTAAGGCCCCATTCACACTGCTCCGATTCGCATTTTGCGCGATATCGCGCAAATGCTTGCATTGAGCAAGCTTGAATCGCGGCTAAATCCGCTCCAAAAAGGGTCCTGCTGTAGCGATGCACGACCCGCGACAGCAGGACCCTTTGCCCCATTGAGAAGCATTGGAGAGCGATATAGTGCGGTAAATTGCTGCAATATCGCGGGAATTAACACGCGATAAATCGCTAAGTGTGAACGGGGCCTAAGGGAGTAGTTAAAAAGTATAACTCATGCAAAGGAGGAACAACATAAACACGCCAGAACAGTCATGTGAAGGTCATTGTATACATGTAAAAGCATATTGTAAAAGACCTGGAGGAAATTTGCCACCTTATATAACATCAGGTCATGCTCACTGGAATGTTTTCATTTTGCGAGCAGCAGAAGCATTCGTGCCGAACACTTCAAAGGGGTTTTCAATTTGTGTACGAATTTCCAGTTATGTATTTGCATGAATGGGGGAACTACATTATGTGCAATGGTGAGCTGGATTTCTAGACATTATTGGAGACTTTAGTTGTTTCTTGCCAGGAGATCTTTAGGTTTAATTGCTGTTCATGTCTCACCTTAGCTGTGGTAGACATTGCGCCGGCCATCTTCATCTGGGAGCTCATGACTTTGGTCTGCGTGGACATGGATGTGACTTTAGAACTCACAGCGTAGGTTCGAGTTTTCTGCTTACGGAGCTGAACTAATTGCTTGGCCAGTATCCGGCAGGCATCTTTGTTTCCTGCCTTTGCCATCTTTTTGATTTCCATTTCCTGATGAGATGGAACAAAACTAAATGAATAAATGGAACACCTACACAGTGCTGCCTACTTACATGATATACATACTGCACAGAAACGCATGGGGAAATCAGATTCATTATTGCTCTTAGTAAGACAGTATTAAAAAGGCAAATACAAAAACAGAAGGACAAAAAAAAAAAAAAAAAATGTGATATAACTGGAGCACTTCACTGTTCGAGCCTCATCTCTCCCTCTTTGGTGCCCAGAAGCTGGGGTTGTGAGCAGGAGACAGCATGCCGAAAGATCAGAATTTTATACATTGCAGCAGCCCTCTGCACTTAACACACATCTTGTGAATAGTTCATAGAATAAAAAAAAGGTGTTTACTGCTGCAAATAATTATTTACATATTTGATTAGTTGGCTGATTATTTTTGCGATTAAATCGGATAAAAAAAAAAAAAAAAGAAGACATACCATCCTTAACTTAAAATAAAATACACAAATGCAGTGTTAAAAACAAAGTTTACTTCAGAATAAAAACTGCATGCGCAATCTTTTGGAATTGCACGGCAACGCACAGCTACGCGGTCCCAGGCGTCTAGTGCGGGCGATCACACTGTGGGTGGGAGGCGCATTAAGGCTCTGTTCACACCTAGGCGTATCGCATATGCGCGTTTCCGTGATTCGCGGTAAAAAACACACGACAAACGCGTTTCCGAGGGCAACTTGGCTGTATCCCAATGGAAACGCGCGACAAAAACGCTGCAAAGAAGCTCATGTACCTTTTCAGGCTTAGGCCGTTTTGTAGCGTGTTCAGACGGGCTGAAATACAGCAAGGTGTGAACCATACCCATAGAAAACAATGGGATTTTTATGTTTGAGCGTTTTGTAGAGCGTTCATAGAGCGTTGAACGCGTTACAAAACGTACAGGTGTGAACCCGGCCTTAGGGTGCCATTGAAATGAATGGCACTGCAACACACCTCCTGGGGTAGAATCCGTCAGGCCAAAACCGAAAATTACTTTTTTCCCCACCTATACATTTTTTAATACATAATTGCATTGTGAGCACATGGCGCCTGAATAGCTTCAGCCAGGGAATGACAGCTGCCAGTGGCAAGATTCTGCAGACGGCAGCTAAATGTAAATACAGCAGCTAGTGGGCTGGTGCAATAGCCAGCCTGCTATTGGCCATTTCAAATGCAGTAGCCAATAGCAGGCCGACTATTGCACCAGCCTACTGCTTGCTGTGCCCTCCTCCCAGCATGGAGGAGAGAGCTAGGGGACCCAACCAACTAATCGATAATGAAAATAGTTGACCACTGTTCTCCTAAATAGATTAATTGTTTGCAGCCTAATGGAGTTATATTATAACTGACAGATTTTATGCTTTTACTGCACCGTCTGCCAGAACCGCAGGAGATTCCCTGACACATCACCATGTTTTGTTTTTTTTTTTAAACATCATCTCCTAACAAAATGGATCATTACTATCAGGTAGTATACAACTGAATGACAGCAACCCATATGGATCCTCAAGCTAGGATATACTACAAACTGCATACATGACCAATCTCACCTCTCACACTTTATTCTGATAGTCTGCTATATATAGATTCAATACCGTTAACATGTTTTATTAACGATAAATGGAAAACATAAAAAACAAAAAAAAAGTCATTTTCCTCCACTGGAGAAATGTGCACTATATCATGATGAACATAAACAAAGACACTAAAAGGTTTAGGAGTGTTTAGTTCACTTACCAGCTGCTTTTCCTGTTTCTCCAAAGCTGCTCGATCTCGGGTTATGGCCCTCTGAGTGCCTCTTAACTCTTTATTCTGCTCCTTTATTATGTCTGCAAGGAGGACAAACAAGTTTACACATCAAAAAGAAAAAAACTGTCCAAATAAATGTGCGAGAACATTTCTTATGACCTATGTGTGCACTTCTCCCCCTCGCTCCTTAGTATTAATAATAGGCGAGGTCGGCTAGGAGATGGCTGATGAGCGCAGCAATAACCGGCTGATGCTAAAGGAACACTTGTACATATGAATATTTCATGGCACACAATTTAGGAGGAGACTTTGTATCTCATATCTAGTGGTATGGGGACTGCTGAAAAAAAGCATAAGTGTTTTATACAACAGTGGGGCGGAATAAATCTAACAGCTGTTACAGAAATCATTACATCTATTACTATTCAATGAGACTTCAATATGGATTATTTCTTCCCCCAAAACTATTATCCACTCCCATAGGAGCCAGTTCTAGCCAACTTTGTAGACTATTCCGGATGTGTTTCTAAATGCACAAAATATAGCTGGCCATTCATATTAAAGTGACACCAAACTGAGGAGTTAAATCTTAAAAATACATTGAAGTACCTTAAGAGAACTATGGGGTAAGTGTTGTTCTCCTAAGGGTCACGGGAGGACATATACTAGCATCCTACCGTGACCCAAAGCTCAGAATATTGCGGGCTACAGCTCACGGTATACTGAGACTGCCGCAGCCGGGACGGATCTCAACAATGCTGTCCAAATCCACGCACCTGCGTGAGTGACAGCGGGCTCTGCCTTACTAGAGGCAGAGCCAGCTGTGCCCGCCCCCTCCCCTGGTCATTCCTCTACTCAACGCTGGAGGATAGGGGGGGAATCCCTATAGGCAGTGATGACTGACAGTCATTGCTCTCTGCAGGGAGATGATCGAGAAGTGAGCGAGTGACAGTATGTGTTTGTTTACCTTCCGATCTATTGAGCCGACCTGTGACGGTTTCATTGCCACACGTCGGCTCGAACTATGAGAATGAGTGATTTTCACTCACCTCATAGTTCTCCTTTAACAAAAATGTATCTTATTTGTGTATCACTCGGCTGTAGATCCTGAAATCATCTCTGAATTCATGCCGACACTGTCCTTACTTCTGGAGGGTGGCTACGTTTGTTCCCCATGGTCCACGTGTGTGTTGTAAAGTAGCCACCGCTCCAAGCTAGCTCCTGTGATGATCTACAATCTCAATACAAAATTAGCAAACTTAACATGAGATTGTAATCCATCAAAGGAGCGAGGAACAAAAGTAGCCACCCTCCAGAAGGAAGGGCAGTGTCAGCACCAATTCAGAGATGATTTCAGGATCTACAGCTGAGTGATACACAAATAAGGTCCGGTATTGTTAATAGTTGGGGTACTTGAATGCATTTTTAAGATTGAACACCTGATAGTCATTGCTAATACTTTGGTGTCACCCTCTCTGAAAAGTCAGGCACTCGTCATGGCATACCTTATCCCGCTGTATGAATGCCTCCTCCTCTCTTTGCCAGCATCCATCACCCAGACGACCACCGGCAGTGAAGTGCCATAACGTCATTACATGCGTGTGGAATGATGTCACATGATGACATGTGCACCAGGTGATACCCGGCGGCCTCACTGGGTGATACCTGGCCTGGTGACGCCGCTGTCCGAAGCCCGTTTCCTCCCGCACTGCAGCATTGTAATGTTCCTCAGCATCCTCTCATCTATACACACAGTGTTAAGTAGGTGATGATTCACAGGACCGTAGAGCACTGCAGTGAAGGGGGAGCGAGGCTAGAGCAACTGGTCTAAGAACAAGCTGGCTCCATGGTTCAGGTGAGTATAACATTTTGTTTTAGCACCTAGACAAATCAAGCAGTTAACCCTTGCATGGCAGGGGTAGCCCCAATGCAAGGGTTAATACGTTTTGCCTGGAGTTCGTCTTTAAAAGTAAAACTATGAGGTGAGTGATTTCCACTCATTATCATAATTAGAGCCGAACTGTGACAAAGAAGCTGTCACGGGTCGGCTCTATCAAATCAGGAAGTAAGCAGAAACATGCACCGATCCGCTCACTTCCCGATCATCTCCCTGCAGTGATTCCCCCCTACCCTCTCCAATCCTCCAGCACTGACTGGAGGAACGGACGGGGAGGGGGCAGGCACAGCTGGCTCTGCCTCTAGATAGGCAGAGCCAGCTGTCACTCACACAGCTGGGTGGATCCAGACAGTATTGTCAGGATCCGCCCCGGCACTCTCAGTATGTAGGGAACATTGGCTTTGGGTCACGGTTGGAGGTTAATATATGTCCTCTCGTGACCCTAAAGAGAACTATGGGGAAAAACACTTATCCCATAGTTCCCTTTTAAGTACATGCAAAAAACAGGGTTTGGACACAACACTCATATCAAGCATGAATGATAAAAAAAGACAATTGGCTTAACGGAAGTGCTAGTAATAGGCACAGAGTACATATAAAGAAGCCATTAGGATACGTCTTCGGGAGTAGTAGAAAGTCTGATAAAATCAGTAAAATTGTACAATCAGCCAACCATAACTCCTTGGCTAAAATTCCAATAATTACATATTAGGAATATGGAAGTCACAATATTTTATGAGACGTTTTCTCTAAAAGGTGGCCATACACTGTACAACCATCGCAAGACCTTAGTCTTGCGATGGTTGTAAAGTCATTTAAAAAACGTACGATCTGCCCATCTTGGACAGGCAGATCGTACTCTCGATCATCGCAAGCCCGCCACCCTGAGGGGCGGGCTTCCGATGACCGCAATGCTGAACGGGAAGTGTGCGCGTGCGCACACCGGCCCGTTCGGCATTTGTCTCTCAAGCACCGATCAAACCAGCCGAAAATCGTACGATTTTCGGCTGGTTTTCTAGCGTGCTCCTTAGACAAAAGACGTGCGACCGTACAGTAGAAACGGTCGCACTTCTTCATTCACACTGCTCGATTCTCGTACGGTCGCGGGATTTCCCGCGATTCTCGTACGAGAATCGAGCAGTGTATGGGCACCTTTAGATTCATCACATTTCTGTTTTTCTATATTCATTTCCATTCACGTAAAATAAGCGGCAACCGACACTTCTCTCCCACACAGTTACAAAGAACTTTGTACAAACATTTCTGGAATCACTAAAAACAAAAGTTCAGACGACACTTCTCTTTCCATTTCCCACAATGCTAAATGACTTGTCAAGCTTACAATGTCCCCTGGCACTCGGCAGTCTAATAAAACGTAGTATGGGACTGCAGGGACCGACTCCAGCCACAACTCTGCAAAGACAGAATACAGCGCAAGCTACTAATTAGCTTTGTCACCCTGTCATGGCAAATATGTCACAACGTATACAGTGACTTATTCTTCCCTAGTCACCTGGATGGCTCTGTGGCAACGCATTCTGTTCCTATATACTGTAACTGTGAATTAGCACTCAGCAGTGTTGTATTCACATATATACATATAGGCTCCAGTAAAAAGACAAAGCAGACACTGTGACATGGAGGTTTGATGCAATGCAACAAGGACATGCTGTAGAAACCAGACGTTCCACGAGAGGGAGCAGCCAGGCAAATGTCCCCCTTCCACAGAAGAAGAAACATTGAATGCAGGTAATGAGATCAGGACAGTTTCCAGCATACAAAACATGCCATCGCACACAATCTGTCCCTGAACCAACACGTATACATGTCTGCCAATTACTACAAACACCTTCAATGTTACCTAGGAGAAATTCCTCAACTCATTGTCTCTAAGCTATGGGCAAGTATAAAACAATGAGACATTGATCTGTATAGTACTGAACACATTTCAACTAAATCATAGAAAAAGAATAAATTGTTCTAATCTTCTAGGAAATCATCTACAGAAATATTGTAAAATGTATAAATTATTTAAAGACTCATTTAATAAACAAAAGAGCAACAATAATACCATATGCTTTTCAAGAGTTAAAGTGACACTAACCTCAGGATTTAAATCTTAAAAATGCATTCAAGTACCTAATTACCAAAAATCTAGCTTATTTGTGTATCACTCGGCTGTAGAGTCTCAAATCATCTCAGAATCGGTACTGACACCGTCCTTCCTTCTGGAGGGGGGCTACTTTTGTTCCCCATGGTCCCTGTGTGTGTTGTAAAGTACAGTAATAACTTGGTTTACAAGTAACTTGGTTTGAGAGCGTTTTGCAAGACAAGCAAAGATTTCTGAAAAATTTTGCTTTGATATACAAGCAATGTCTTGCAATAAGAGCAAAATTCTATAGAAAAGCGCCACCCAAATAAGGCTGTAGCAGTGCGAGCGATGAGTCTGTTTAACGACAATGCAATGTCACATTGGATAGATTCCTTGTTAAGGTTTCACGTAATGAAAAAGATTCCATTTAGTAAACAGACAACAGTGATTCCGTTAGTGATAGTGAAAGTCGTCCTACACAATAATCCTCCTCTCTCCTGTCCCCCTCACACCAGCCACGAAGGTACCGGTAATCGGTTTATTTTTCTTTATATTTTGTAGAGTATTATATTACAGTACAGTATTGTAATACATTTTATATGAATATTTTGGGGTTGTGGAACGAATCATCTGAATTTCCATTATTTCCTATGGGGAAATTCGCTTTGATATACAAGCGCTTTGGAATACAAGCATGCTTCCGGAACGAATTATGCTCGTAAACCAAGGTATAACTGTACAAACCACTCCAAGCTCACTCCCATGATGGACTACAATCTCATCACAAATTCGTAAACTAAACGTGAGATTGTAGTCCATCACAGGAGTGAGCTTGGAGCAGTTGCTACTTTACAACACACACAGGGACCATGGGGAACAAAAGTAGCCACATTCCAGAAGGAAGGACACCAATATAGGGCTTGTTCACACCAAATCTCGACCAGATCTGCATGAGTTTCTGCACATGCAGTGCAGCGTTTTTTGCAGCATTCCGGATCGTTTTAAAAAAAAAACGTTTTGATTTTTTAGCCTAAAATGGGCTTTCAGTGCGTTTCAGAGCAGGAAAAAAATAGGGCTTGTTGCAGTTTTTCCACATGCTCTGAAACTGAATGCTGTGGTGTGAACTGGAGCCCAAAATATCATTGGAATACATAGGATGCAGTTTCGATGCCTTCAGTAACTGCTGTGCATATGCTCCGCACTTGGTGTGAACTAGCCCTCAGAGATGATTTGGAGGATCTACAGCTTGTATTGTAATTTGTATTGAGATTGTAGTCCATCACAGGAGTGAGCTTGGAGTGGTGACTACTTTACAACACACACAGGGACCATGGGGAACAAAAGTAGCCACCCACCAGAAGGAAGGACAGTGTCAGCATCAATTCAGAGATGATTTGAGGATCTACAGCCGAGTGATACACAAATAAGGTACATTTTTGTGAATAGTTAAAAAAGGTACTTGAATGCAATTTTAAGATTTAACTCCTGAGTTTAGTGTCACTTTAAGGGTTTACCAACAAAACCAGTTGACGGGGCATGCTGAAGGGCCAGCTTCAGCATGTGGCAGTCACAGCAAAGCCATATGAAAGATAAATGATTATTCGAGGTCGCTGCTCTTTGCTGGAAATGTTTTTCTGTTGTGTATTTGTAGTAAACGTTCTGTTTTGTTTTAAGCCATCATATGTATTTAAAGACCAAACATGTATCCTTTTTTTTCAAAACCATCTCAGCCTTTATAATGGCTATTATCTATACAAGTGGAGAGATTAGCACTTCTGAAACTCTGAACTCAAACATAGGGAGATAAAAAAAAACCTGAATGACTCAGTGTGTGAATCAGCTGTTCTGATCCAACCCCTTGTGATCACCTGATACGCCATGACATCAGTTTCGAGTCATACGCCGTGTCACGTGTGTAAATAATAGTTGTGAGCGTCCGTGGGTTGTTTCTAAACATAGAGACTTAACAGGAAGCAGGAGTATTTG